GAGAGTTTAAAATAATAACTGCTGTAAATGTTACTTGTTATACGATTTCTATCTTCGGTAATAATATTTCCAGCCCGTGAAAATAATCGTTTACTTGGTAACGGAGGTAGCAATTACACTTAAATATTTTAATGCTATATCTTTTAATCCAGAATGCATGTTTATTAGCCAATATTGTAGTGGATTGTCATCCATTTTTATTGATAGTTGATTCAAATAATATTTAAGTTCATCTGCTTCTTAGTTTCTTCTTAGTTTCATAATGGCTTCTGCACACAGGACGCAGTAATACGTGCTATAATATCGGAGGTTCGATATTTCTGCAGAAATATCGATGCATGCTAATATCAAAACAAAAAATATCGATACAAAATATCGATAATAAAGTTTAAAAAAAATCGATATTTTAAATATCGATATTGTATCGCCCATCCCTAGTTCCAACGCTTGGTTCATGAAATCGCACAGGATTTCAAGACCGATTTGTCCGAAACTTCCCGTGTTTTACAACTTAATAATTTATATCACAGATATTCGTATATTTACAAGATTTAATTTGCAATATTTTCTGTTCTGAAAAATTACGTATGTATGTAAGCAAGAGCATGATGTGATATGTAATTATAATGATATGTAATTATAATAAATATAAGTTTTAGAAAATGTTATAAAGTATGAATATAATTCATTAAAAGTCTTTGTAAATAAAACTAATATTTTTCATTTTTTTCAGTATAAAGATCGAAAATTCTAAATAAATTAATTATTATTTTCAATGTCGTGTTTCCAATTTTTTAAACTATTTTTATTAATAGTATATAATTTAAAAAATATGTATATACATTAAAAGTAATCTAATAAAAATTATAACTCATAATATAAATATTATTCGGGATTTAAAAAAATATAAAAAACCATAACTCTTTAATTGAAATTTATTGTTAATTAAGAAATGCTTCAATAATTACAATAGGTATAAAGCTATAGTTAGTTATCACAAACTTCTTAACATTGTGTATTACAATTTTTACTAAAATGTAACCCAGGTTGATACATAAATATGTGTATGATTGCACATAACATAACAATACATAAACTTATGTAAGAAAATTAAACTGAAAACTTAAAAAAAAATAATAAAATTTTTTACATTGCATGTAGTACAGTAGTTTGTTATACAGTAGTTTGTTATACTATAATACTATTATACTATAATAAATGTAACACATATAAAATTAAAAATAAAAATAATAATACATAAGTGAATATCATTGTATCACAGTTTTTACTAAAATTAAACCCAGGTTAATACACAATTATGTGCATGACTGTATATACCAATACATAAACTTATGTAAGAAAATTAAATTGGAAACTTCAAACACAAAAATAATTAAATTTTCATTAAATTTTCATACAGTACAGTAATTTCTTATACGTATAATTAATGTAACGTATATAAAAATAAAAATAAAAAAACAACCCTAACAGCACACGGAGATACTGAGATCATCATGAGAATATCGCAACAGTATAATTGTGATATTCTCAGAACAGTCTCACAGATACTGCGATACTACGTAGTACGTTCTAGAAATCATCGTATGTCCGGGGTAAAACGTCCCATAGAATGTCGCACTAACGTCTACAGTTAGTCGCATTTATGTCTATAGTAGAAGAATAGTGTGAAGATGGGATGAAAATGGGAATTGTATAGGACATACATACACGCACACATTTACACAACCAAGCGCTCAAGCTCGCGTCATTTTACGCTTAGGTTAGGTTAGGTTATTAAGTAATGAAATATAATTTTTATTAAATGTTATTTTATTTCCAATTATATTCTGATAAAGCATAATATAAATTTATTGTTATAAAATAAAATTTTTGTAGATTAAATTTAATATAAATATATATCTATCTACATTTTATTTTATTGCACAATTATATTTTTAAAAACATTATCCATTTTATGTTTTACTTTTACTCGAAGTATTGCACAATAAATTATGCCATATATCAAACATGACACTTGTCCTTTAAATGCAAATATATTATTAATTTAATATTAAATCACCATTGCGTAACAATTATTTTTAGTAGTCCATTTAAACAGACTAATAAATTATTCTTTTAAGTCATATATAAATATCGATACATATCATTTTTGTACCTTTCAACATTAGCATAGTACAAATTACATAAATACTAAAGCAAGATTTTTCTTCCAAATTTAATTCCTTATATTTAAAAAAAAATGATCAATAAGATCTTAAAAAAAACGACCTATAAAAAACTAATCTCTTTCATTTTTTGTTACTAAAAAATATTGAAAAAATAGATTAAAGTAATAAAATTTTTACAGTCTTTTTTTCTTTAAAGGCTGCTACAAATATCTGTAATTTCTTCTCAACGGAATTGTGTAAAGAAAGATCAATCTCAGCAGCTCTCCTTAAATCTTTGATGGCATTCCTTTCGTCCCACACACCAATATTTGACCTAGAAATATAACATTATAAGAAATTAATAAAACTTTGTGTAGAATTATACATGAGTTTATAACATAAAATAAATACAAATGCATACCTTTGTTCCTGGTAGAAAAGTAATAACTTTTGTTCCAGCATGAAGAGTCGTTTTTATTATGTACTCTGTCATTCATTGCGATAGCATATCTAAATAATAACAATTAATTAATATTCTCGATATTCAATAACAAAGTATCCAAAAAAAGAATGCCAATAGAATTGTACGCACAAGACTCGAAACCTTCAACTGCAAGCTGAAACAGACCAAAAAGCAAAAAGCTAAGAAACAATTATTATGCAAGTATATATAAGTGAGAAATTTTAATATTAACAAGCATTTAAAATGTGAAATATAAAGTATAGAAAAATACTTACGTTTCGTAGAAATTGGAATGCAGAGAAAGTAGCCAAAAAGAAGAATGCCAATAGAATTGTTCACGCAAGACTCGAAGCTTTCAACTGCAAGCTGAAACAGATCAAAAAGATAAGAAACAATTATTATGCAAGTAAATATAAGTGAAAAATTGTAATGTTAACCAACATTTAAAATGTGAAATATAAAGTATAGAAAAAGACTTACGTACAATGTGGAATGCAGAGAATACAGCCAAATAGAAGAATGCCAATAAAATTTAATGCACAAAAGACTTCAATCCTGCAATTGCAAGCTGAAAACAGATTAAAAAATCAGAGAGATTAGACAATTAATAATAAAAGCTAACAATATAATCTTAAAGTATTTCTTAACCTAAAAACACAATGATCAGACAAATATATAAAAATTAATTAGAAATGTTACAAAAATGTAATACAACTATCTCTGACTTTATATTTACTACTTTTGTCAAATAAATGTAAGGAAATAAATAGGATTACCTTCGATATCGATGGAATTCAATTTTCCTTGTTCACGCACACAATGGGCGCGTTCAGCAGAACAAATCGCTTGGTAGCAATCGAACATGATTGGCTCTTACTTTTAGAACCAACAAATCAACGTTAAGTGTTGACTAAACGACAATTCAGCAGTTGTTCTGCTGAACGCAGCCAATTCTCGGTGATCGGGCAAGCGGGAAAAGACCGGAAGTAGTACGTATGGAAATGACGTAGTTGGCGCTGGTATCATAGCGGTCAAACCTGAGATTATACTCGCGCGATAAAGGTGCGTACATATCATTTGCGTAAGTTGAGTAAATTCCGATAATATATGCATGCGATAGAAAAGCGTATATGTATTATTTGCGTACGTTGAGTAAATTCTGAGAATTAACGCGTGCGAAAAAAAACCGAATTATACTACAGAGATCTTACAGAGATGATCTCAATTTTTACTGGATGATCACAGTAGAATCAGTATGAAAATGGGATGATACGCAGGATGTCATGTGCTGTTAGGGAATGATACATAAGAAAATATTATTCTATGAATTCTTCAATTATCTGAAGAATTTTAACCAAACACAATCTTCTTTTCGTTTTTGGCACATCTTGCATTACGTAAGCAATTGTCACTGATAGTGATGTAAGTTCATTATCTTGAGGAAGTGATGACGTTTTAGTTCCTCGGCTTGAGACTACTGTCTCAACAGTAGAAGCCATTCTGTTTATAATTTTTGCAGTCTCTCCAAGGAAACCATCTATGGCATTCTTCTTTCGTTTAAAGGAAATGTCACTTGGAGGTATGACAACTTCAGTATTCGCTTTGTGTTTGAATTTACTGGCAACAGATGTGCCAGAAGATCCTGATTCTGATTCTGATGTATTTTTGGAATTCATCGCCTTGATAGATGGAGAAAATGGCACGACTTGCTTTAAATTCTTTTGTAAAATTTTATTTACAGGCGTTGGTGAAGATGTTGGAGACAAAGTAGGTGATGGAGATTTTGTGGACATTGACGGTAGAGAGCAGCTGTCATCATTATCTGCAAAACGAGACATATTAAGGGGGAACACCAGGGTGACGGCCAAAAAAAAGGCTATTTTCGTGTAATTTTTTTTTTTATTATCTAATAGTTTGTTTAATTTATAAACTATATATGTTAAAAGTACATACTTATATTATGTTACAAAAAAAATTTCATAAAATAATATTCATATTTATAATAATTATGGTGATTGATGTGCACCTCGTCTGAAAAAACATGGGTGCACGGACGCTCGTGCTGCATCTGAACGG